AAGTCATATCATGCACACAAAAAGAAGGAGTCGAGCTCAAACTCGAGCCAAGCAGCTGCCAAAAAAGCGGGAAAATTGTTCCCAGCTGGGAAAACAGGCGGTGCAATCGATCCCCCCGCTCATTGTAACAACACATGTGAGTACCGGCGTCGATCAGCTGGTAATAACCGATGATCGTAGAAGGCAGGCTGAAGAGGCCGGTGTCACTGTAGAACAACTCCTAGGCATCTAGGCCATCGAAACATTTATAGAGGAGGAACTAAAATGGAAATATGCCCGCGGCGAACCTCTGGTCAAGCCTGAGGAGATCCCGCCGCGTCTATCAATGAGAATGTATGAATTGCATGAATGGTACATAAGAGAAGTAAAGACTACCGGGAGAGAGTCCCTCATGGTGAGAGTCAAGGCAGAGCATTACTTCCATGAAAAGGATTTGTGGGTTAAGTTTCAAGAAATGTTTCGGTTATTCAATCAAGACGCACTCGATAAATTTATCGCCAGTTGCTATTGTTTGTAAGTGATTTCTTTCTGTAATTTAAGTCTCTAACTAGCTGTAGTGCTTGTTCATTACCTGTAATTATCCTCACTATATTCTTTCCTGTGATATTATGCAGAATGAAGATGTATGAAATGAAAAAAAGTTGGACGCTATGGCATTGGGTTCATTAACCCAAATACCATTAATGAAAATACATGGTTACAAGAATATGATCGACTATACACAGAGGAAAGCTTGCTACAGTTCTTGAAGCACCTAAATACCCAACCAAAGATACTACTTCCTTACAGCTTCGGGTGAGTCACACTGTCTTGTACTATAAATTATGTTTTTGCTTACTAGATGTTAATAAGTGTAGTTGATGAGTTATGCACATGCCCGCTTAATCATATATACATAAGAAGTTAATCCCCACTATCCTATTTATCTCAACATGCACATATGCCACCTCATCAAAGGCCCACCACCACATGCATTGAGAAAAAGTTTTCCACTATTAGTTGATCGCATGCACACCTTTCACCTCACCACACATGCCACCTCATCAAAGGTCCACTCAAAATGCATGAAAAGAGTTTTCCATTATGTTATGCCACTTATATTCAAAATATTTTCTGACTAGTCCCTCTGTTCCTAAATATTTGTCTTTCTAGATATTTCAACAAGTGACTACACATGAAGCAAAATGAGTGAATCTACACTCTAAAACATGTCTACATGCATCCGTATGTAGTAGTCTATTTGAAATGTCTAGAAAGACAAATATTTAGGAATGGAGGGAGTACAAAATAATCAAATACTCCATCGGTCCCAAAGTAAGTGCCTCAACTTTATACGAACTTTGCCCCAAAATAAGTGTCTCAATTTTAGTACAACTTTGTACTAAAGTTCGTATAAAGTTAAGGCACTTATTTTGAGATGGACGGCGTACAAGATATAATATTTATTTTTAGCTTTAGTTCATATTTTATTAATTGAACTATGGAGACTTCATACAATGAAATCACTGAAATATATTGCAATCGATTCCCGCAGCAACGCGCGGGGTATTCTCTAGTTATACAAACATGTGCGCATGCAATTTTTACTGGATCCTGCTAATCATTGAAGTTGACGAGGAAAGAGTTCAAGTACTGGACTCACTACTTAAATACGTTAATGACTACTCAACCGTGAGGGGGATGGTCGACAGGTAATTTCAATCATTATCGAACTATATGTCGACCTCTTTAGTTCGTCATTTTCTGATATCAACTAATTAGTAACTCCTTTATTCATTTTCTTTACCGGCGGGCAGGCCTTGGAAAAAGTTCATCAAACAGGTTAAAGCCCAATGGAAACAAAAGTTGAACCGGTGTTGACCCAAGGTAATTAATTAAGTAGCTAGTACTAGCTAGCTATCATCTCTTTAATTCTAGTTTAAATACCATTATCATAATTGATTAATTATTATCTGATTGAATTCTATTCTCGTAAAGGCCCTGAAGCAGGCGTCGGAGACTAATTTGTGTGCATACTACGTTTGCGAGTACATTCGCATGATGACGCCCAAAAGGAGCAGAAATGATAGAGAGCGATGAGTACGTTTGCCAGAACACTATTCACAATTTTTACATCATTATCTAATATATATACACACAATTAATACATGCATATTGATCTCCTTTTTTAAAAATGAAGAAGATGCAAGATAAGCTCTTACCAGATGATCGTGTACGAGCAATTCAAGAGAAAATAGTAGGATTTTCGCTCAACCAGGTCATAGATCTCAAAGAAGAATACTATTACAAGTTGTAATGCCTCCATGTAATGATCTGCAAATTGTAAGAGAAATTGTATATATATATATACAGGATGCAGAATAAGTTATTCTTCACCCGAGGTAATTTTACGATCGCTTTCTAAATAAATTATGTTTAGAATATAAATAGTTACGTGCAGATTGATTCAATATGTAAAATTTGGTTTAAAAAAAATAAAAATATAGTTATAAGACCAGAAAAATCATATTTTATGTATGTTTTACACTATGTTTTTACATTCATAATTTTAAGTAACATAAAATATTTTTTACGGCGAGTACATATTTTTTTATGTTCTCTTTTTATGTATGAAATAAAACAAAATTTACGAAACATAAAAATACGATGCATTGATGTCAAAATAAAGAGGGGTGAAGAATAAATATTCCTTAACCAGGGTGACGAATAGCGTGACCCATATATATATATATATATATATATATATATATATATATATATATATATATGTATGATCGGTTCTATGAGAAATTCTATTTACATATATGCATAACATGTACAATAATATAGTAGCGTAAAATATACTTGAAATGAAAAAGAATTAAATGGAAAACATAAAACTAAAAGAAAAAATAAATCATAAACACATAACCCTAAACCTTTTAGTCCCGATTGGTGTAACCAACCGGGACTAAAGGCCTCCAGCCCTTCGGCGCGGGCTCGTGCCACCTGGTGGG